GCACGAATTTGCTGGAACCAGTTGAGGCGGAGGTTGCAGGTTAGAGCGAAGGATCGTGTCACTGCACTCCAGCCTGAGGCAATACAGCCAAAGACTCGAGTCTCGATAAGATAAAAGCTTGAATAAAGTTATTCAAAAAGGTTAAAGTCTCGATGGACAAAAGTAAGGCTGGGTGTGTGGTTTACGCCTGCAACCCCAGCCTTTTGGGATGTCTAGGCAGGAGGATTACTTGAGCCCCAGGAGTTTGAGATCAGCTTGAGCAACATGGCGGACCCCACGTCTATGAAAAGTAAAAATAGCTGGGCATGGTGGGCACGTGCTTGGTGGCCCAGCCACTCGGGATCACTCTTGACCTGGGAGGTCGAGGCGTTAGTGAGTATTAGTTACTGTATGGTTACGTGTAGTTAGTTACTGTATGGGGCCACCGCATTCCAGCCTGGGAAACAGAGACTCTTGTCTCAAAAAGAAAAAAAAAAAGTTAGTCTCTGTAGAACGCTGACCCTCAATCACTGAGTCCTCCCCAGAGGCCTTTTTTTTTTTTTTTTTGAGGCAGAGTCTTGCTCTGTCGCCCAGGCTGGAGTGCAGTGACCGGGATCTCCCCTCCACTGAAGCGCCGCCACCGGGGTTACGCCTTGCCCCTGCCTCAGCCTCCGGCAGTAGCGGGGGATACAGGCGCCCGCCCACCCGGCCCGTGAGGCTCACGTTTGTTCTGGATTCGAGTAGATGACGGTTTCCCGGTACTAGCCAGGGATGGGCTCGATCGCCTGACCTCGTGATGCCTCCCCGTCTCGCCTGCCCAACGGCCCGCCACTGCCTGCATGATTAGCGCTTGGAGCCACCGGCACCGGGCCCCCATTTTTTATTTTTGTTTGAAACACAAGTTCACTGAGGGACCCAGACTGGCATGCAGTGGTGGATCACGAATCAGGGACCACGGTAACCTTGGAGCCTCCGAGGGGTGGAAGTCTTGCCTCCACCTGAGCGCTCTGGAGTAGGTGACTACACTGTTCGACCGACCACGCATTTTTTTTTTTTTTAAAGACATGGGTTCTTGATTTGTTGGCTGGGTTGGTCTCAAACTCCTGTCTTCAACTGATCCTCTCACTTCAGCCTCTCAAAGTGCTGGGATTACAGGCATGAACTGCTGTGCCTGGACATTAGTACCTGTTTTTTTGTTTGTTTGTTTGTTTGTGAGACAGAGTGTTTCTCTGTTCTGTCACCCAGGTTGGAGCGCAGTGGCGCATTCTCAGATCACTGAAACCTCTGCCTCCCGGGTTCAAGTGATTCTCATGCCACAGCCTCCCAAGTAGCCTGGATTACAGGTGAAAGCCACCACACCCAACTAATTTTTTGTATTTTTAGTAGAGACAGAGTTTCGCTACGTTGACCAAGCTGGTCTTGAACTCCTGGCCTCAAGCAATCCGCCTGTCTCGGCCTCCCAAAATGCTGGGATGACAGTCATGAGCCACCACACCTGGCCAGTACATGTTTTTAAATACAATTTTACTTGAGACAATTGCATGTAAGTATCCACCTCATAGGGTTGTTGGTGAATACTTAATGTAAAGCTTTTAGAGCAGTCCTTATCATACAGAGAGTACAATGAATGTTAGTTACTGTATGATTACCACTGCCCATCAGTCAATCACATTATTATTTGCCTCTCTCGCCGAGTTCCTCGTCAATATATTCAGGAGTTGTCTGGATATAAATTTTCTCAAACCGTGTTTTTTATCTGCTCGCCCCTCAGCACACCAATAATCAACACAGAAGACTTCTGTGGACTCCAAAAATGTGTGGGGAATTCCCCCCACCAGCAAGCATACAATTTTTTTTTTTTTTTTGAGACGGAGTCTCTCTCTGTCGCACAGGCTGGAGTGCAGTGGCACGATCTCGGCTCACTGCAACCTCTGCCTCCCAGGTTTGAGTGATTCTTGTGACTCAGCCTCCTGAGTAGCTAGGATTACAGGGTGCATGTTTTTTGTATTTTTAGTGGAAACAAGGTTTCACCATGTCGCCAGGCTGGTCTGGAACTCCTGAGCTCAAATGATCCACCCACCTCTGCTTCCCAAAATGCTGGAATTACAGACTTGAACCATCACACCTGGCCAGCAAACATCAATTCTGCAGCTGACACCACCTGGGTGTCCTTCCATTTAAGCCTGACATCTTCTACCTGAAAATAGTGTCATTTCCCACAGGGTGAGGGCTCCGTCCCCAAGACTGCCCTCCTTCAGACACGAGTCACAAGTCTGGGCCTCTGAAACTTCTGATGGACCGCCTTCAAGTTGGGGCTTCCATGACCCCCATTTTGGGTTCCATTAATTTGCTGGAGCAGCTCACAGAATTCAGGGAAACACTTAATTTTGTTTACACAGATGAAGTGACACATAGGGCAAAGCATAGGGGAAGGGGTGTGGAGCTTCCATGCTTTCCCTGAAAGCAACACCCTTCAAGAACCTCCACATGTTCTGTTATCCAGAAGTTCTCTCAACCCAGTTCTTCTGGGTTTTTATGGGACACTTCATTACATAGGTGTGATTGAACACTGTATAGAAATGTGATTGGACAGGCCAGACGCGGTGGCTCAAGCCTGTAATCCCAGCACTTTGGGAGGCCGAGGTGGGCGGATCACCTGAGGTTGGGAGTTCGAGACCAGCTTGACTAACATGGAGAAATGCCATCTCTACTAAAAATACAAAATTAGCCAGGCACGGTGGTGCATGCCTGTAATCCCAGCTACTCAGGAGGCTGAGGCAGGAGAATTGCTTGAACCCGGGAGGCAGAGGTTGCGGTGAGCCGAGATCACGCCACTGCACTCCAGCCTGGGCAATAAGAGCAAAACTCTGTCTGAAAGGAAAAAAAAAAAAAAAATAGCCAGGCACGGTGGCACACACCTCTAATCCCAGCTATCTGGATGGCGGAAACAGGAGAATCGCTTGAACCCGGGAGGGAGAGGTTGCAGTGAGCGGAGATCCCACTACTGCACTCCAGCCTGGGTGACAGAGCAAGACTCCATCTCAAAGAAGGAAGGAAGGAAGGAAGGGAGGGAGGGAGGGAGGGAGGGAAAGAGAAACAAAGAAAGAAGAAAGGAAGGAAGGAAGGAAGGAAGGGAGGGAGGGAGGGAGGGAAAGAGAAACAAAGAAAGAAGAAAGAAAGGAAGGAAGGAAATCTATTGGACAGAAAGTACATGATCTGAACCCAGCAAAGCCTGTCTGCTCAGACTTTTCTTGGCCTCTCTGTGCAGCATTTCTTCCTTGCGGGTAGGGGGCAGACCCTCTCTGGAATGAGGGTCTTTTGACCCAGTCAGATTAGAGTCCTGCCTGGGGCAGGTCAGAGGTGGACAGGAGAAGATCAGAGAGGGAAATTCTGTTTCCTGAGGCCTACAGTGCCTCAACATTATAATGAGGACAATGGGAGTTAGATGCCAGGAATTGTGGATTCGAAAATTGATACCTATATCATAACACCACAGCAGTGCTTTTTCTGAGGGACTTAAAAATACCACCTATGGAATTTAGTTAATCCCCAAAAATGACTTGAAATGTCGGCCAGGAATTCAGTCACTGTGGTTTTACAGAGAAACAAGATAAGACCTTTTCAAGATTACAGAATAGATATGTGTCCCATAGACAAAATTAATCTAGTTTGGAGTAGGAAGACATTCCTCTAGGTTACAACCACTTTCAAACTTTTTTGATGGCTGATCACTTTAAGAAATACAACAGGTACCAGAACACACATGTATACCTGAAATGAAAGCTCCAGAAAACCATACTTTCATGTTTTCTATTGTTACATTCCATTTCACTGAAAATGTGCTCATGGGGATCTACTACTAAATAGATTTCAAAATCTATTATTTGGTTAACTAGCAGTGTAAAGAGCATTATCCTAGAATCTAGGTCAAGATACTCTCCCCACCCCCTCCCCGCTCCTTTTTTA